GAAAAACAGAAAGTTGCGAAAAGAATTGAAAAAGGAAAAGCAGAAAGAGAAAGCAGAAAAGCAAAATGTAAATGGTCAACGGCAATCAATACTCATCCGATTTAGAAAATCAGTCAATAACAAGAGGTCATGGACTGTTCTCGAGCACAGGGAACCATTCAATCCATAAACCGAACTACAATATCAACAACAAAGAGGAGAAAACAGTTGACTATAACGATAAGGACGATGTTCAAGGAGGATTCCAATATGAGCAGAGATTAACAGTGGAGCACATTGAATAGGAAATTCCTAAAACTTTTTGAAAATCTAGTAAGGAAGATATAAACGTGAGAAGTTCAAAGTACGAGCGTAATGAGCTCGTACTTGCTTTATCATTATCACGCCAAAAAAACACGACCGCTCGGCTATTTATTTTTAACGTGAAAATGAAACATGTGAACAGCCGCTCAACAAGAAAATTGAAATAGGAATGAAACAGGCGTGCACAATCGTACCATGGTGATAACAGCGCCAAACATGTAACTTCTCGAAAAATGATCCGAATTGAATGATTTTTTTTGTGTCTGAAAGCTCACGCTGAGATGAAAACAATGAAATAAGATTGTTACACTGATTTCAATAAATCATCAAAATATGAACCGAAATCTTCACTGCTGTACAGAAAAAGTGAAACTGTTGGTTGGTACATGCTAGCGAATGGTTTATCAACGTCCCGTGTCAGCGGAAACACAATGAAAAACCTTTTTTTTTCGAAAAAAAAAGCAAATTTTAGAAAAAAAAATTGTAGAAATATTCAAAGAATTGCGTTTCAAACCGACATAGATTAAGCTCCCACAAGGGAACAAATTGAGCAAAAATCTATGATGGCGTACGGACGGTCTCATTAAGAGACGTAGCGAGCTCCATCTTGAATGGGAACCGTCCGCATACCAAAATTGCCCTACACAGAGCGAACGTGGTTTTAAGTAACCGCACGTTGGAGACAGATGAGTGTCTCGAAAATAACGTGCACTTTCAAAGGTCTCATGTACTTAATGCGCCGTACATCCAAAATTCCGGAAACAAAACTTTTCTTATGATCAATAGAAACGTGAGCGCATACCATATGAAGAAAGAGAATGAGAAGCTGATCAGAAGGAGTATAAACATGGAACTATCAATTCACAAACAAGGCTCAGAGTTGGCCGAAAAAAAAATTCGGTCGCGTCATCAGGAGAAAATTCCGGAAACAAAACTTTTCTCAAAATCAAAAGAAACGTGAGTGCATACGATATTAGGAGAGAGGATAAGAAGCTCATTCGAATGAATACAAACATAGAAGTACGACCTTAAGAACAAAGCTCGACGTTGGAAAAAACAATTTCGGTCGCACTGTCAGCACTTCAGGAAGCAGATGTTTACTGTCATGAGATCTTGAGTTTGTAAATGGATAATCTCATATAACATATCCCCACCTTACATATCAGACCATATAAGGAGGAACAACGAGAAACTGAACATATCTTTTGCTCTCCTGCTCTCCTCCAACATGAGCAGTTTCCATCTTCAAGAAAACCAAAAACGGAAAAACAAAATCTGTGGAATTTGCCCGAAACAAGTAACGCGCACGATAATCAGGAAGAGCATAATGAATTGAATAAGAAGAGTAAGGAAATGGGTTGCGCTATCGAGATAATTTACCAAAGAAGGAAAAGAACAGTGTAGGTCGCAAGCCAAGAACTCAGTTGATCACCTTTCGATAAGAGAACAATCGGGTCTATCATTTGTTCGTTCGAAAATAAAAACATGTAATCTCTTCCAACACATTTCAAAATGGAAAAGTAAGGAGACTCTGGTACATTCCATCATCACTTGGTTGATTTCCTAACAGAGGGCTCTGGTAGATCCAACCAATTGAACCTTCTATAGATGAGGAGGACAGAACAGTAGGAAAAGTAAGAGAGAGAAACAGTTGAAGGAAAAGGTTTGACAGAGGTAAACGATGACGAGAGGGATTGGGTACAAGACAACTTGAAGAGAATACTCTCGCTTACAATCATCAAAAAGAAAAGAAGCATGGCCAGCCATAGAAACAGTCTTGGCTGGATGTTAAGAACGAAGAGAGCAGAGGATGTATAATCAGATATAATCAAAAAAGAAACAAATAATTCAAAAGCAGATGATAATAGTTAGAACTCAATGGATACTCTGAACGTATGGACTCAGACAGGAAATCAATCGATTATCTGTAAGTTGATGAGAGTAGGAGCAAAGTAGGAAAAATCGATGTAAACTAAAGAGGAGGGGGATGAGCTCAGACTATAACACCAACAATAGGAAGACAGGATTTCTATGATAGAGTATGAATGGCAGATCTTCAGAAACAATGGTGAAAGATTAAAATTGAGAACTCACGTGAAGTCATGTCCATGAATCACAAAGCGGGTGAAGTTGTCCAGCTTGGTTGGAACAAAGATGAGAAAGTATTGAGAAGAAGATGATGAAGAAGCCGACAAGAGATAAACAGTACATCATTATAACTTAGAAAGACATCTGAGGTATGTGTAACCCGTCTACTTGTTTAGTCGGTTCAATGATAGAAAGTAGAATTCTGAAAAATCATTTAGCGTTTCATGTAAGAATGGAATTATTTGTATTGTTTCCTACATCCGAGTGTTGCAACCTGTGGCTACATCTTCCCAGTTAAATCGGCGCAATAAGAATGCAGCATGGCAGCTTCAATACATTCAGAAGAAAACCAAGCAAAAGAGAAAATCAAAAAAAAATGATGAACAACATCAAATGCTCGAGAATACCAACGGACAACTTTGATAGCGACATTTTTAGTGGAACGGCAAGTAGTGTAGGATACGTGAGCTTACTTCTCCGGTGGAGACCATTCCCTTCAGTGTGACCAGTTTCTAACTTCAAAGGACTCAGAAAGAAGAGAAAACTTTTCGAGACAAGAACAAAACTGAAAGCGCATATCATATTAGGAAAGAGAATGAGAAGCTGATCCAAATGAGTACAGATTCGGTAGATTCAACCAACAGAACCTTCTCTAGATGAGGCGGACAGAACAGGAGGAAACGTAAAGAGAGAGAAACAGATTAAGGAAAAGATTTGACAAACGTTTAAGATGACAAGAGAGATTGGGTACACGACAACATGAAGAGAGTACTCTCCCTTACAACAATCAGAAAGAAAAGAATTATGGCCAGCCATAGAAACAGTCTTGGCTGGATGTTAACAGGGAAGAGACCAGAGGATGTATGATCAGAAATAACTGGAGAAGAAACAAATCATTTGAAAGCACATATGATAACAATTAGAACTCAATAGGATATTTCAGACTTATAAACTCAGACAGGAAATCAATCGATTATCTGTAAGTTGATGAGAGTAGGAGCAAAGTAGGCAAAATCGATAAAAACTAAAGAGAAGAAGGAATGAGCTCAGACTACAACAGTCCATTACAACGAAAGGATCATTCCTAAATCCATAAGAGGAAGATCCGAGTTAGGAAAACAATGCAGTGAGCGTCACCTTCGATCAAGGTAAACGTATGATAGAATATGGAGAATAACATAACAATGGGCTCCGCTACACAGAAAATGACGTATATAATTAAATTTTAAGTGAAATTTTGAGATGAAACGACCCAAGAAACATTCAATTCAATCTAATTTCAGAGAAGTCTCATCGTTTTCCCAAAATTTTTTTTTGCTAACTTTGGGCCTTGTTTATGAGTTAATAGTTCCGTGCCACGTAAAAAACGTTTCCACGTGACGCGTTCCCGCGGGGACGAAAATGAGGCTGAACAGTTTTTGAAAGAATGCATGGAGATGATTTGCAACGTAAGTGGTTTTTATATCGATTAAATCAGTACTTGTAGTAACTTTATTTATTATTATTTTAGAAAAAACTTCATCATGGTAAAAACCACGAGATGCCTGCGAGATTCTTTGGGGGTTTGCGTCGCTTACAATTGAAGGTAAATTTTATGAATTTCGTGGTATTTATGTAATGTATTCACTTTCAGAATTTATCAAAAAACACAAGCTTAATGTAAAGCTACATTCTCATAACTCATTAGAGTCGTATCAACGCTCCGTACCAACGAAAACACCAAGAAAAACTTTTTTTTTTTTGAAAAAAATTGTAAATTTTGATAAAGAAATTACAATTGGAAAATGGAATGGAATCAAAGAAATCATCATAATTTAAAAAAAATAAAGACCACAAGACACCGAAATAATGAGAACTAAGAAATTAAAGAATGTCTTCAAGCGAAGTCACAGTTCATTCTATAACTATCACAAGAAGGCAATAATAAAATAACAAAGACGATTGCTCAAAAGGACACCTCATCTTCGAATAGCCAAATGATACCGAAGAGGATACGTTCTAACAAGACTATCTTACTTCAAGATAAAATCAAAATGAAAAGATAACTCTCAATCAATACAAATCCCTCACTGCTATAGCAAAACTCTTTAAACACGCAACGTTCCCCGACCGCTGTTTCAACTACTAAGATCAGACTTTCGCGCTCATTTATAACACAAACTACAACACAAAGAAAAACAACTAGAATCTTCGAATACTTCCAATGATTTCCTCAGAAAATTGTGATCAACTGGTCAAACTACAGTGCCTTAACCTCATCATAATAGTCTTCCTTTCGGATTCGAACTCAATAATCAACCACTTTTGCTGATTTCTCTTTTTTAACAGTGTTGTGAACCTGATAACAAAGCATATTGAAAGACAATACATTCAATGGAGATTTGCAATTGAAACTCAGAAACAAAGTTCGTCTATATCAACAGTTTTCGATACTACCAGGACTTTCATATTCGGACGAAAATCTCAAAGCTATCAGACATATATAACAGAACCTTTCAGCGTGAGCATTTCTAATAGAGAGAGAGAACAGGGAAAAAAGGGTTATTAACTAAGAGTCATGTCACATTGAATAGATAATGGAGTTTGTGAAGACAGGCGGGAATGCTATATTACGAGTTTATACTATCAGGTTGGAGAATAGTTACTTTTCGACCTGCAAAGTTTCTTATAAATACAATAGAAGAGATAATAAATGATACCTCTTGTTGTTAACTCAACTACTCTCCTTCGGTATTCAGTGTTCGACATCAACACGTAGTAAGGAGCGAATACGGGATAGAGAGCTATGCTGATCAGCGCATAGTGAGCGACGACTGAAAGGGAGAACTAAATGTTGAACTGATGGGAGGAGCGCAATTGTACCGACATTCCCCATGCTCAAACAGCAACAAGCTGTGAGTACGGAGACAGGAACTCCCACCGCAACTAATTCGACAATACTCTGAATAGAAGATTCTGAACTTCACTCGATTATCTCTCTTACGAAATAAATAATGCCCGCAGTAATTCTACGCTGATTGGCTACGAACTGAGCGGACTGTGAAGAACTCGCTTGTCTTCTGATGCTAAGGGCCAGAATTATTCCACAAACAGTGTTAGCAGTCGAGTAGAAAACAGTACAATAAGCGGTGTAAACGGCGACGCAGATGACTTCTTTATTGAACGAGAAAATGAAATTCAATCCACCAAGAGTATCCATCTCTTTGGGATAGTGATTCACCTTCTGAATATAGAACGTTCTACTGAACTGTAAACGAAATCACCTTCATACAAGCATCACGTGCTTCCAGGCCCCCATCTTCGAATATGAAACCCGCGAAAACTACAGAAAAAAGTTGAGCGAATGAATGAGAGAAGTAGATTATCAAAATGATATTCTTGCTCCTATCTGATAAGTTCAAAGAAACAGCAAGTACACGATGCATAACAAGAAGAAGCGAAGACGCCGAACAAGCTGAAAGAAAAATTGTTGCATCAGTTCTCTCCTGTGATAGTTACTAGTGATGAGAGCGATAAAAATCCAGGCTTGGTTAATAGTGCTCATGATTCCAAAACGAGTTAATATCCCCCCAGTGTACCCACTAGCACATGGTAAGATGATGCTAGGTTGCAAACCAATAGTTATATATAGATGACTGCAGGTAATTCTTGAACAGATAAATATCTACTGATTTCAAGTACTTAACACCGCTTACGCTACATCATGTCCATGTATGACAAATCGAGAGAACGGAGTCAGCTTGGTAGGGACAGTTATGAGCAAGTACATTGAAAAGAATATCATAAAGAATCCCAAAGAGGATAAGCAATACATAACCATAGAATAAACATCCATAGATAAACTCAGACACTATGTGAGACTTCTATTCCAGTATGTTTTTTTATGAAAGAAAGGTTGTCTTGATAATCTTCTGAGAATCATATGAACACTATTTTCAATACAACATAAGCTCACAAACCTTGTATCAGCTCCAACTTTTCCTGCAAGTTAAAAAGAAAACCGACTGAATACTACTACATGTTGAAATTTGAAGCACCAAGTAAGCTAGATGGAAAAAACATTAAAATATTATACACAGACGGGTACAATCAAACTGTTCAAAGGAATCTATTTCGTGCACTTGAGAGGGGTTCCAAGAAAATGTTTTTCATCAACAAAATTATCTCGACTACTAATGAGGAGACTCAAAATATTTAAGTTCCACAATAGTAAGATAGAAGAGTATCCAATCACAGGAGTCAGAACGTTCAAGCAATCGATATGTTTCAAGTAATATCCAGGTTCTGTATTTGGATGATCAATCCAGTCTATACAAATAGGATAAAGAATATTGCCAAAAAAGTTAAGTTTGCATGAAGTGCCAAGCCAGCTGTATTCTAGCACGGCTATCAAACTTTTAGAATTTCTATTTCCTCTATGAACATGTCTAGCATTAACATCATGTAAGCTCTTCGGCACTAGTATATTTCATCATCCGAGTGTATGTCTGTTCTGGATCTTGTATACAAGTGTGACATAAGGAATTGCGAAGATCAAGCACATTGGATCTAGGAGATGCCATCGTTGTGTTTAAGAAAGGACAGATTAGGTTATCTGTTCATTTCTAAAGATCCGCTAGTGAGCAGATCTTTTGATCTCAAGTAATTTTCACTCATTCATCGGTCTGTTACAACAGATTCAAATGAGCAAGTAATAGGAATTGCAACCTTGAAGAGGAACAAAAAAATGTTGTCAACAACACCAGATAATTATAGTCGAACATATAAAATAAATCATTTAATACGAATTTTGAGCAAAAATCAAAGTAAAACATGGAAAATTATTAATAATTTGCAATTCTACAAATGGAGATACGTAAAATGAGAAGCACTCGGTGTATAAGTGAAAGGTGACAATTCATTCACTGAAACCATAAATGTGGATTCCGGTCTTAGTTACCGGACAGTTTATTCATCAGTGATACTCGTAATCTTAGAAGTTTGTATTTCTCAGTTCATATATCTTGTTAGGGGCTTTGCTTGGTGTATAGTCGTTCCCATTCGATTCAATCATTGAGCTCCTGTAATGATTAGACATTGAATGAGGAGATGAAACGAAACAATCACCTACCGAAAGCCATTTTGCAATTTTTCCATTGATAGTTCAGAAACATTTTGCATTAAATCGTTCATGAAACGTTTCTGTTCACCGGAAAGTTTGGAAGCTTCTACCTGAAATGGAAGAATCAGTTCCCGAGAAGGCAACCGGACAAGCTCACCATCTTTCTTGCGTACAAAAGTTTGTCAATGTGAGTCTGGAATTGGTCGCAACATTCTTCCACATGTTTCATCAGTTCTAAAGCATTTTCATATGAAATATTCAAGTAATTCAGTAACTCACGTTGGGAGTCGGGACCATCTCCCAAACGCACAGTAGCTTCACTAGTGTTACTGTCACTCTCGTCTGATGTTTGCAGCCGTTGTGATCTACGAGGGTGATACCTTTCAACCTGAAGCAAAGAAAGTTTATCCAATGAGTTCGAACTCTAATAGTACTCTTTTCTGTAGGGCGCTCCTCCTTCTCAATTTTTCTGGACTTTGTGTGCTTGTTTCTTCATAGAAGCCATCATTAGTGAGATCAGGGTTACTGAAATCGAAATAGCATTGAGAAAAGAAAGAAATCAAAACACCAACCTAGCTTTTTTCATTTTGTCTATGGTGTTCTGCAAGCGAGTGGTTGGAGACTCTGCCATAGCGTTCGGATCGTTAACATTTCCCATACTTCTCGCTAATATCCTCGAGTTCACCAATCCTCTTCAAATCAAATCATTAAGAATAACTTGTTTTACAAGTACCTAGATGGTGTACTGTGATGATCCGGATTGAAAGATCCCGCCATTTCCAGATGTCCTCCTCGCATATTGCTAATAGACCGTGTTCTTGTTCGCTCTGTAGATTCGGGCGGTGACTCCGATTCGGATGTTCCCAATAATAAATTATCAGTTGATTTTCGCAAGTTTTCTGTAGACTGATACATCCTGAAATGGTAAACCACGATGCTTGCGACCTTCTATCTTTGAACTCACTTGCTTCGCAAAGCATTCACTTTGTTCAGAGCGTCCGTGCTTTTTCTAGTTTCCGTCTCGCGTAAGTTGCTTCTAGATGTTGCTGGCGTCATTCGTGAAGACATAGCAGTGTAGGACATATCAGAATCCTGAAGATTCATTAATTTATAGAGTGGAAAACATATATAATCTTACTCTTCTCGACTTGGTTATATCTCGGCTTGTTGGAGTCATAGATTGGCTCAACTTGAACCTGTTTGGACTTTGACTACGGCTTCTCAAATGCAGCTGAGAATTGGAATAGTCTTCAGCTAGAAAAACATCTTGTTAATGAGGAAAAACGAAAAAATAACTGTTCCCCTACACTCTAAAGTTATTTGAAATTAAAGAAACTAAGAATTAAACTATAAGTAACCCGATAACTGAAACCAGTCTGTTCTAGAAGGAGAGGATAGTTGAGTTCATTCATTGCAAAACTAATTAGGGGATGTTAAAAACCAGGCAAGAAAAAGCAACTTATAATGATCAGAAAGCACTTCAAGCATTGTTAAGCACCTGTTTTCTTTTTTAAAGATGGTTTAGCAGAGTCAAAGTCATTTGAACAGATTACAACCGTTCGACTACGCAAAGCGCGATTTTGAGGTGGAGCCTTATTGAGATCTCTTCGTATACCAGAGCGTGAAGGAAATACTTCGAAATCTGAATGTTAGCAATAAAATTAGTTTTGGTTTTCGACGTATTAAGCAAGATCTTGACAAGCAACATAAGACACTGAAAGCTCGTTGTTTGGGCGTGATTTAGTATTTCTCACAGTTGTAGTTTGGGTGTTAATTTGTTACGTGTGTTAGTAGTATGATAACAAAACGAGAGCCAACTTACGTCTTCGTGTAATTGCACTAGCTGCACCTCCGCTAGGAGATGTTTGAGCTTGTAAACTGGACATAGTTCGTTTAGGAGTCATGGAATGTGAGGTCCACAAGGATTTTGACTAAACAGTTAAAATGAAAGTTCGATTTCAATTTATTAGGAAAACCTCTGGATTAGCATTTTCCAAGTGTTTTCGTGAAAGAGAAACACGCAGGCTATCGTTTCGTCCGAACAAATCATTATGTCTATTAAAAGAGGATGGCGAATTTGAAGAAGACATCTGTTTAGAGTACCTATAATGAAATATAATAAGAAAAGAATATGTCGGGATAAACGTACGCTGGAGGAGCCATGTTTGGCGATCTAGACAGAATTTCTGTATTCCTTCTTACATAAGAAGGTAAAACATGATTCTGGGGCGTAGAATCGATACCCGCTGAACGAAAGTGGCTGTAATCCATTATAGTTGGAGTGGCATCTAGCGCAACTTGATGATATTGTCTTTCAGGTTGCTTTGATATAGAATTATTGTTTTCCGAATAGTTTGGTGAGTATTCTGTAAAATATGTCGATATAAAACGGAGTGTTGAGATAACAGATTAGTGACGCTGCATTCCGTGTTCAGAATGTTTGAGTTTGAATATGAAATCTTCATGAACAACCATGAAGTCCATTTGTTACATTGACATTCAAGAGGTAGGAAAGTGTAAGAACTCACTTCGCTCATAGTTCATACCAGATCCCCATGATGGTCGAACTTTACGTTGAGCTTGTCCGTTTACAACGTTGGGTGAGTGATACCCAGTGTAGTTACCCTTAGAACACAGAATATTGAAAACTTAAATAATCGAAAACCATACCTCACGTAAGTTAAGCATTGATTTGCTTGACTGATACTGTGGAACGTTACGCTGTCGTGAGATGAAATCAGATTGAGTATCGTCAATATCTGAAAACAAAAAATAAAAAATTTGTAAATATAGTTCATTTATGGCATTTTTCATGACTCAAATGTATGTCAATCACAAATCAATGACCATTTTTTATCCAATAGGCAAGATTAAATTTGCTTTGTTTAAATAAGCCCAAAAACAACTTCATTCGGGGTGGAGGTATATCTCTTTCATTGTATTCAATTGAAAGAGATAGGAAACAATCCTTCCATTAAAGGTCAGGTCAAGTGGAAATTTCATTTGTGGTTCATAAAATCTATAAAAAAGGCTTTTGCTTACCGTTGGATATATCGAGAAGGTTGTTGTTACTCCTTCTGGTCACCTGGGCTTCCTGTACCGACAAGGACAACGATCTGTAATAACAGATAATAAATAAATTTATATAGATAAATAAATAAGAAGGTTAATAAAATGCCAAAATAGTATAGATATCAACAAATATGTAATGAATGATAACAATTCATATATTGTTCTTTCAAAAATGTGTGTATGTGTGTGTGTGTGTGTGTGACTGCTTCTACAAGAGAGAAAGGACAGCTACACAGTCAAGATGGGTAGATGAGATTAGAGGAAAGGTAACGATGAAAAAGCATAGGTCGAAACGGAAAGGGATAGACACAGTAACAGAAATAACATGTGAATCAGAGAGAAAACGATTAGCAGCTGTAAGCATTTAACCAAAGCTAGTACCATAGCTAGAAAGAGAGATTATAGACGTGAAGGAAAAATGTGGTCATTCAAGGGAGGGCTGACCAACATTGAACAAACAGACGGTAAACGAAGAAGTGTCCAGGTCGCAGGTCGGCTGCCTGCTTGATTTGTTAAACATTTAGAGCATTTCGCTCTGTGTTCTTTTCGTCGGTTCAATTTTAAATGAACGAAAAAAGAGATCCGTTTCTCGAGTATCAATAGAAGTCTGACAGCAGAACACAGAGTTAAAAGGCTCACTATGCCCGTCTTTCCTAGACGCAAGGCTAAAAAACCGCTCAGAAAAAACTGTCAGTTGGTTTCTACTACATGAGGTGGAGCGAAGAGAGTCCAAATTTTTGGAATATACATAAGTGAAGTGAGTGAAGAGATGGGAAATGTTCGAATGCAAAAATCACTAACAGATCTCATCGATAAGAGATGAGAAGAGAAAGAAGTGAGAGAAAAGATGAAGACAATGCAAGAGAGAGATATTCAATTGTGATATAATAAGCTTGCGAACAGCCTTCAATTCAATGCTGCAAAAAAATGGAAAGCTCCAACTGGCAGCTCTTTCAAAAATCCTTCAAAAAGATGCTTTAACTTTTTGCTGTCATTACGATCCATTTCATTCGCAATGCAGTCAGATGTGAATAGATAAAAAATGTGAGTTGAAAAATGAAAATAATAGAGAGAAACAGCTGAATAAAGTTGCCAACAAACAAACGGATTTGTCGTTTCCATTATTTGCCATCATTTTTCATTGTAAATTGATTAGCTTGATCAGCAGTTCATGATGGGAAGAGTTTAATTGCGGAGAACAGAATGGAGGAAAAAACGGAAATTTCAGGCGATGAAGCAACGGAAATGAACAACATCATCATTGATCAGCCATATACATATAGATATACTTCGTTGTCAAATAGAAGCTGTAAGTACGGCGAAAACAGTCAAATCTCTTCAATCTGCTCGCTAGAAGAGTAAAAATAACTTCTAAGTGTTGATGAGCTAACAGATATATGAGTATAACTTGTTTGAGTTCTTCACATCCAACAAGATTTGGAAGAAGGTATGAGAATAAGACAATGACATGCATGGATCGGCTGTATATCACACGACCTCGGCATCTTTTTATGGATAAAAGGCGTCAGGTAATATCGAACTGCTCTTTATGATCTTAGCGACCTGAATTCAGAATGGAATGAAATGAATGAGATGATCGACGTCAGTATTCTTCAGAAGACACACTTTTCTATATACGCAAAACAATAAAACGGTTGTCATAACTGATGAAGGTGCGCAAGCTGTTAACTTGCCTGGATAGCTTCACACAAGAGAATATAGCTGACCCGAACCAATTAAACAAATAAAGAGCAAGAAGGCGAGAAAGGTAAAGCCTATTTAAATACGCCAATAGTTATATCTAAGTGTTAACGAGCGCCCTATAAATCAATTGTTTTTATTAAAATGACTTTCAATAGGGATGAATCAAATGAATGATTCATACCCAACGATTCACAATTTCAGACGTATTTTGTGTACGAAAGAAGAAACAAACTTCAACAGGCCACAAGTGGCAGACCAAATTCAATAGTAACACGTTCCCCGAAATGAAAAAATGAAAAAAAAGCGAAAACGAAATTGAAGCAGAAAGGGTAACGGAGAAACGAGCAAACAACTTCAAAGTCACATAGAAATTTCTTCAAATGGAAACTTTCTGAGATGAAGAATGTTTATGGAATATGGACGTCTTGATAGATGGAGCAATAACATAGAGATCATTAAATGAATGAAGATGATGCAAGTAATTGAGGTTGAGATATTGAGAGAAAAACGGAAGAAGATGATGTACAAAAAGAAGAGACTTGTCAGAACAAGGTATGTACGGATTTTCTTCAGATGTCACATAACATCCTAATCGTTCTATTTCTCATAATTGTGTGTATGGAAAGGTAGAAGATTCCTAGAATCTACGGACCACAAGGTCAAACAGGCAAAAGACACAAAATTGGTATGAAAACGATTCAAAAATCGTATCCAGATTATAAGAATACACGCAAGAAGACAACACAATTCAAGGTCGATTTCTAACTGCGTAAACTTATATAAACATTCATATGTTTCTCTTCTGAAAGAGGCTAACCATATAGTGATAATGAACTATAGCATGGAGAGAAATGAATAGTAAAGTGACAGTATCAAACAGCCATAAGAAGATAAGTATTCAACTTACTTCGAGTTTCCGGGTGATAGCACGATCACTGGAGCGGATGCTGACTGATCTAGCGATGATGTGCTACCAAAATCAGATAACTTATCACCAATACTCTGGAAACACAAAAATACATGTGTTGAGAAGTATGATTCTTACAGATATATGCAATTCTTCACTCAAAGCTTCAGAGCCACTTCCAAGCAGGCTATCAGGCGTGGGTGTTCTGAAAATAATTTTTATGATAAGTGTGAAAATAATTAAAATTGAAAGAAGAAATTTTAAACATTTTTGACATGAATAAGTCGCCGTATCATGTGTCCAGCATATTAATGAAAGTGTAAAGCCAATTGCCAGAATTTGAAGATAAATATCAAATCATGGAAATCGGGGTCGGTTTCTCTATGAACGGTTAGATAAATTTCAAAGATAATGAACTAAACCATATCCTCGTTGCATAGAAGCCGATTTAAAGACAATACAATTTCGATTAAATATTAAAATAAATCTTCGTATTCTAAACAGGATTTACCTTGGGGCTAATTCCAACAAGTTGCGTCGACCCGATAGCATTTGATTAACAATGGGTGTTGCCAATCTCCAAGCGTACAAACTTCCATTGGATGATACAATGATAACTCGTCTAGAAAAATTAAAGGTAATCTCTAATGATAATAAGTAACTTACTTGCAGTCCTCAGAAAAGCAAGCTTGCACAGGTGTATTGCCAGAAGGAGCAAAAGTCGCAACAATGCTTCCAGATCGTAAATCTAACATATAGCAAGATCCATTAGTAGATGTTACAACTGTGAACGTGTGTGATGGATCAACAGCAATCTGGGAAGAAGCGAACATTATGAAAAAATTATGACAGCTACACACTAACCGATGTCATCGAATATCCCGCACGTATTTGCTGGTCAACAGGTACACCAAGGGATAATAATGATTTCCCTGATGCTTCATATCCTCGTACACTCCAATCACTACATCCAGCAAGAATTAAATTTCTATTTTGCCAATAGCATAAGTCATTGACATTATGAGAACAATTAATTACATGCTCTCTTCCAAAATCAATCGAATCCTAGAAGAATAAGCAGTTAGCGTTCATTAGTTTCTATGTTGATATTACCTCATGGAAAACTATACTCCAAATGAAAATGCGATCTTGCGAACTGCTGAATATACGATGAGCACCGTTACTCTGAATGATGCAACATAATACTATATTTAATATTTTCCAAATTACCTCAGCGAACTTAATGCTTGTTACTACGTCTTCGTGATCTTCAATTACTCCACAATGTATGTACTTGTTCGCTGATCTACGGAATAGATGCACCAGATGATCTGTACCTCCTGATGCGAAAAGAAGTGGTAAATCTGAAACTCAGATAATTATACACATTAGATACTGTTTCAAAACCTCTGAAGGATGAAAAGTCTGAGCATTTCACAGCTCCGTCATGGGCCATTATACTCTCCACTAGTGATATCTCAGATTCAGCGATATCGTACACACTTAAAAAAAATTGCTAAGAATGCTACCGATCTGTATTTTGAGAATCTCAAAAAGGAAGTAGTTCGACTTACTGTAAGTTTCCAAGACTTGTACCAGCGATAAGATGAGATCCATCAGGTGTTACTGAGACACTTAACGCTCCAACATCGCTTGAACTAGCAGTTTCCTTACACTGATCCGGTAATGTAATCAGCTTGATCAGATTGGGAGAAAGTAAATTAGAGCTTCCGAGACTTTCGGATAAGCCGTTATCAAAGCTCCATATTCTGACAGTAAAATCAGATGAAGCTGTGAAGAAAGCATCGACAGGCAGATAGTTGTGGGGACCCGGTAATGGCTGTAAAATGATAAAATGATATGAATCATTTCAATATCTGATGCGTACCAGTAAAGCATTCACACATGATGAGTGAGATAATTGGCTTTCAATTCTTTGCCAATGAGATCCGTGTGGTAGATAAACATAGAAAGATTTATCTTCATGAATGCAAACCACTCCATCCCCATTGGGAAAACTTTGTACAGCACAAACAGATGGACATCTATAAAGTTTTGAATTGAAGAAACATCAATTCAAACATTGCAAATACCTTGTATTGCAAGAAGCAATCTGTAGCTCTTCAGCTCTGTGAAATACTGAGGGATCAGCATTCGACGGAGCTGGAAATGGCAACTGATTAACAAATGTCATGTCGTTTTCTGAGCAACAATGTGTAGACCCATCAGTACATCCAAGCTTAAGTATCAAAGGTATCAAGTACATCAAGAGAGCTAGACTTACAAGTATTTGATCTGCTTTGTAAGCAATAGATGTAGGTATAATGTTTTCAAACATATATGCTTTAGCATACTATAAGAGCAAGGTTGAAGAAGATTATTGAACAGATTATCAACTTACTTTCTTATTCCAAAACTCTACTATCTCTCCTTGATTCGTAACAGCTAACGTTTTATTTAAATTCACAACTACGCAATCAACAAAAGTTGAACTTCGTTTATCGGCTAATATCGCACTTCTCGACTGAAACATTACTTCTATACGAATCATACAAAACTTAAAAATTACTTGAATGGTTTTCTGTTCGCTATCAGTTGGAATCGTCCAGTATTTCACATGCCTCGCTCCAGTGGTCACAAAAAAAGAGCCATCAGGGGACATGGCAATAGAATTGACCTACGAAAGGATGATAACTTTCACACTATCAGTTCAACTCTTACCGATGCTGAGAGCTTCGATGAAGCTAGCAGCTCTGAAGTTTTCCAATTCCATAACGCTATTTGAGCATCTTGTTCACATCCAACTGATACAAGATAAAGAGATTTCGGAACAAATTTCTGGAAATAAAAATGATTAGAAACCAGACAGAAGAGTTGTAATGTACCACAGCCACAATCTCCGTTGAATGATGTTTCAATTCATGGTGCAACGAATATTGCAACTGATTCTTATTAAATCCTATTTCATAAACTCGAACAGCCGGCTCCACGCCACACTGAAATGAAAATGACTTGCAAAAAAAACACGTACAATACGTAAGACGTAATATGCTAATGAGGCCAGTTACGCGGGAAATTTGAAAATTGATAAAGCTTACCTCTCCACTGGCAACATATCGTCCACAAGGAGAAATACTAACACAAGAGATCTGGTGATTAGGTGACCCCAAAATGTAACCAACTTTCCTCCCATTAAAATTTCGAACTACAATCACAGACCTGAAAGAAAATAGTAAATCAATCGATATTTATATATAGGGTTGTTGTGCACAATATTTCGCCCCCAAGTCCCTCAGCTTCTATAGAAGGATCAGTCATACAGCTGAGCACAAATGATTCTTTATTTACAAAAGCAAAAAGGGAGAAGCTTTGTGTGTGTGGAAAGGAATGAAGGAGGGTGAGAAGTCCGTCTGTCTTCTGTCATTCTTCCGTCCAAGACGAATTGTAGTTTGACCGACAGCAGATATTATAAAGTAAACAAGACAATTTTGGTAAGTGAAAGAGAGAAGTAAGCGATGAGTATTATAATACGTAAAAAGAAGTAATTATTACCCTGAGACTGTTACAACAGTGTTTGTCTGTTCGGCGATATGAAGCCCATTTGGATTTGTACATGTTGTTCCTAGAACCAGCTGAAGTTTAGCCTGCAAAGGAAAACTGAAGTAAACACACATAAAGTGAGAAGGAAAAAGTTTTTTTTTCTCATTTTCATTATTCTTCTTCGTTTACCCAAGAAACGGAATGTAAAAGCATGAAATGATGTTTTCGTTTTGGTAACACAAGGAAATCCTACTGTTGAATGGGAATTTCGACTTCCTCTCACATTCATTCGATTGTCGTTGTTTGTCTTATGGAAAGGAATGGCACAGGTCAAAGCTGAAGAGCTTAGAATTGAAGAAAACGATAAAAGATTTTAATGAATAAGAAGATTTCAGAATAAGTTGAACGAATCACAACACGTTTATGAATCGACTTTGCTCACTAAGGAACTGTCATTGAATACGTCACAGTGAGGAGGGATAGGCGAAGGGAAGGAAGACGGTCCTCATGATTCTTTCAATCAGTTCTTTCTCATAAAATAATCATGAAATTATAAATAAAAACATAAAAAAATGAAAAAAAGATGAAAGAAGGTTGGCTATCAACCTCAGGACAAACAAGAAAATTAAGAAAAAGAACAGGACATTCAGATTGAATGCCTTTTCCAATTAGCATAACTGCCACAAAGAAAATCATTTCTTTCATGGGCTTTTCTTTCTGACATTGAAAAGTCTTTGGATGAGAAAGAGAAAAATCGTTTTGATTGAAGCTGGTTCTTTGAACATTCCGTAACTGGTATCGTACTTGTAGGCGTTTGATCCGGAAAGCTTAGAATGTTAGGATGGAACTTGTTCCATTACAGATTTTCGTTTCAATTTTGGAGACCTGTAGAAGCCCCCTTCATCATATTAAGGTGATGCAACGGAGATTACTCCCCTCATCCGAACAATCATTTGATTGAAGCTTATTAGAATTAATATTATTACTAACCGAAACATGTGTTAGGTTAAAAGAAATGAGGAAAAGATGAAAGACAATACGTCGCAAGATGAAATGAGTACAAGATAGAACATAGTAAGGAGAGAAGAGAGAGAGAAAGAGTGAGAGGTAGTAAGGTAAAAGTCAGGTTGAGGTTGAAGCCGGCTGAAAGCCAAAGGGCCTAATAAAGTAATATGATCGGCAACTTCATCATCAGCCATATCCATTACATCCCCTGCCCCCTCCCTTCTCAAATCATCTAACCACTGTCACTGTTAATGCAAAAACATTTCAATCGAATCAATATAATATAAGAAATCATGAATAATTAAGAAATACTTATAATTATAACAGCTTAGATACAAACCTGATGAGTAATTTGAATTTTATTAGTTCGCTCAAACATTTTTAATCCGATTATTCTGATTGATGTGTGTAGACGCTTTAATACTGACCACACCCCAGATTATTCCGGATTTGTTGTATTGAAATGTTTAAAAACTAAACCAATATACAAGAATCTTTTTCAGATGAAGAAAGTCTAAAGAGGAAGCCGTCTTTACAATGCCGACAGAACTGTTGAAGACGATTGAAGAAGAGGCGAAAGCATTTTGGCACACACACACACACACACAAGCACACACCCTAACTCATCTAAGGACCCTTATGCGGGCTTTTGGGCGTCTACAGAAAGGTGTTTGGATCACTGCTCAATAACAACATCTATTCACACTTTAAAGAAGCATTGATATGCACCAGGCTATCGTTCACACACCAACTTCAGATGTAAAACTTCGAAGTCGTGATTTTTATGCAAAAATACCATTTTTCCCATGGCCTTGAGCTGTTTTTGAGATTGCTTCGGCTTATTTTGACAAATAAAATGAAATGTTTCGATTGAAATGTTTCGACTGAATATCAAATGAGTTGGTCTTGTTGATAGTTTGACCATGAATGAACAATGAGAAAGCCTTTTGCCCTCTCCAACTTCTATTTCACTTTCTCTATTGTGTGGAACTCTCATTCCTTCTTTGATACTGTTCTCCTCAATCTTCACTACGCTCTTAATCTATACATTACCAAAACATATTTTGTATCATTTTTTGTGTGAAGAAAACGAGGGTGACAGACATGAGTTAGAAAGCGGCGAAGGAGAAGGCGAAAGACCTTTCCATTCTTGCAAAATCTTTGGAAATACATATATAAATCTTTTCTTCCCAGAAATCATTTGAACAACATGAAATAAACTAGGCAAATACTATGTCCTAAGTTTTTCTGCACACATCACACACTCATTCACTCACTCGCACACTCACTCACACACACATACAAGCAGCATTCATCAGTTCAACCTTTTTCATCTTCTATACATGCCTGTTTCAGATAAAAAAAAGTTTTTAAACAAATTCAAATAGTTTATTTGAACATTTTTCAAATAAAATCACAGATATATTCCATTTGAAAATGTTTATTTTTTTCTTTTCTCCCAACAAACAAACAAGATCGTTTTACAAATGTTTTTGCTGATATAGAGAGAGAGAGAGAGAGAGAGACTAT